TAGGTATTAGAAAATTCACACATCAGTATTTACAAATCAATTTGCCTTTGGCATGTGGTGCTGACACTGTACTATGAACAAGCCTTGTTTCTTGCTTATAATGCAAATTACCATTACCTCTTTTGTCTCTAAATGAATTGATTATCTGTATTCTGCTGGCATGGGAGGGAAGAACAAGTAAAGTATGTATATTCAAACTACCACAAAGATAATACTGATGAACCTAAAATTCTGAAAATTTACAACAGAAAGTAAATTATAAAAAGAAATGTTTAATTCAGCTCCCTCGGAATTCCATGTTTTGGATAATTAGAGGATTAAAAGAAAATTCAGAAGCTCTATGAACTTTCTGCACAAATACATAATGGAACAAAGTACACAATAGTAATATTTTACAAGAACTGATGGCTGACACGGAGAAACAGTTATCACTTGACACTGTCTGAAATGTAGCCACCCACATTTAACAATAACTGATGCAGCATCATGCAAGAGCAGATAGCATATGTGGATTGAAATTCAGTTAGTTATAATTTCTGTTAGCCACATTCATGCATTAAAACAAGTACCACACACCTCCTACTTACAAAGGAGATGTTACATTTCAGTCCTGAAATTAAGATTTTACATCTTGCATAACAAGATAATTATCTGCATTTTTGCTGAGATGTAAGCCCCACTTGGGTATATCTACACTGTAGAATTAATGCCATTTGACACCACTTTAATTGCCATGGCACCGTGCAATGAAATCCTGGGATTTGCAGTTTAGTTAGGCACTATCTCTCTTTGGCAGAGAACACTAAAGACTTTTGTCAATCTACAGCTCCCATGATTCCATAGCATTGAACCATATCATTTAAAGAGGGTGTCCAACTGCATTAATTCTGCCCCAAGGTCAGTGAGGTGCATTCCTGCCTGAGGTCAGTGAGATGCATTCCTGCCTGACTGTATATAGGAGTTCAATCTAACAGCACAATCATATATATCTTTATTTAGAAATAAGACTTTTCAACGCTGGGACTCTGCTATGTGTTGGCTGTCTATTCACATCTCAGGGACCAACAAGCAGATGACAAGAGAGCCAACATGGTGAAGTGGCTAAAGCAAGGAGGGCCCAAGTGCAGCCCTGGACCACATTAGGTCCCAAAGCCATTTTTATATCTTCATCACTCAGTCCCCACAACAAATCTTTTTTTCTGAGGGAAAAGATTACTTGTCCCTCTTGGAAGCTTCTCAAGACCTTTCCACACAGCCCTATATCCCATAATATCAAGGCAGAAAATCCCATATTATCTGAGTATGGACTCGGATAACCCAGTTCAAAGCATATATTGTGTGATTTTCTGCCTTGATATTCTGGGATATAGGGCTGTGTGAAAGAGCCCCCCGAAAGGTGGCTCATCTTTTAAACAGGCTGCATGGCCTGTCTGCATTTTTAACATCCTAAAATGGTTGTAAGGGTCAGATGCAGAGGGTGGGGAGGGAAGAGACCTACCCATGTTGCTTTGAGCTTTTTGGAAGAAAGACAAGGTGTAAATCTAATGATTAATATAAACACATGCGACTTGAAGCCCTTTAAATGAAGGTAATTGATATGGGTTAACTTGAGGTTATTTAAGGAATACAATTTATATTGGTGATATGCATGAAAGCTGGCATGTTAATCCACAGCCTCAACATCAGCAAACTAGAGACACATTCCCCAAAAGGCTTTTTCTTTCTCTCCCCCCTCCCTCTTATGCTTTGTGTCACACTCCAAAATGACAGTTTGAATTAAATAATACAAAATGCTTGTAATATTTTTTTTCCATGGACACCTAGCTTATCACTTCTTTCTGACTTTATTGATGGTAATGGGCATCATCTCCAGTCATCTCCTGCCCTTTTTAGATCATTTAACCCGCAATCTCTCTAACCCTGTGGCCCACTACCGTTAAGAGCCTTGGTGTCGTTTTGGATTCGCAGCTGATGATGGAGGCTCAGGTTGCTGCTGCCAGCAAAGAGGCCTTTTTACATCTACGACAAGCGAGGCAACTGGCACCTTACCTGTCGGATGAGGCTCTGGCAACAGTCATCCATGCCACGGTCACATCTAGGCTGGACTATTGTAATGCCTTGTATGTTGGCCTTCCTATTTCTACGACCCGAAAGCTCCGTATTGTCCAGAATGCTGCAGCCAGGTTACTCACAAAAACACCCATGAAATGCCATATAACACCAGTGCTGCGGCATCTACACTGGCTCCCAATTGAGTATCGTGGTTTGTATAAGATGCTGGTCCTGACCTTTAAAACTTTATATGGCCAGGGTCCATTGTATCTTAGAGACTGTCTCTCCTTCTACCATCAGTGGAGGTCGCCACAACCATCCCAACGCGATTTGCTCTATATGCTGGGTCCAAGGGAAGTGCACTTGGAAAGCACCAGATGCAGGGCCTTCTCTATTTCTGCCCCTGCCTTATGGAATTCCTTGCCTCCCTATTTGAGAGCCATGCGTGACTTAGGGCATTTTATCCTAGCACTTAAGACCTGGCTTTTTACTAGAGCATTTGACTCATGTTAATTTATTAATATTTGTATGTATGTGTTTTATCCTGTATAATTTCTGCTATGTAAATCGCCTAGAGCATCTCGGATGGAGGGCGATTAATAAGTAATTAAAGATGATGATGATGATGATGATGATGATATATATGCTATTGCTCAGAACAAAACAGAAGGCATAACACAATTATATTTATTATACCAGATTTTCCAGAAGCCTTTTGTTTGAGTAAGGCAGAATAACACATTTTTAGAAGACAAGTATGAGAAATATTTTATAGACATTTCATAAAAATCTATATTCATGACATAATAGAATTTGAGCAGCAAATTTATCTCTTTCTGAAACCATTTTCCCCATCACCATTAGTCAACTAATTATCTGTTTCAACCTTGCTTTTTTAACAGTAGGTTTTTTTCTCATTATGTTTTTCTTTCCTTGAGTGTGCATGTAAGGCACATGTTGCATTATAAATAGAAAGTACCTGTTTCCTGAATCAGAAACTTCACATCCTTGCTGTGTCCCTTCAGAAACTTATGGCACCCCTGGTGCTTCTTGCCTTTCTTTGAGACTGAGAAAGTGTGGCTTGCCCAAGTTTACCCAGTGGGTGTGATACCTGAATGGCAATTCAAACACAAGTTTCTGCAATCATAGTTCAGGGTTTAAACTACTGCACCACTCTGGTGAATGTCACATCATGCATTCCAAAAGACCCTTGAAGTAACATTATATATGCACTTTTCTTCTTTGAGTCTGAAATGCAATATGAATATCTTGCTTTTGCAAGAGACATCCTCTCTGAGTCAAGACGTTTATTTTGTGGCTTACCACAAAGGAACAACTATTTGTTACTCACAAGTGTAGTAAAGCCCTTGCAGGCATTCTGTAATACACACAGCTTTGGAGCTGATGTGAACAGTATGCATAGCTCTTCTTGCCACTTTTTATCACATAGATCTGCCTTAAAAGGATTCTGAACACTGACAGATATCTCACACCATCTTCAGATTTTCCACTCCCAACTGACCTCATCCTCTATGACAGCATCCACATATGTAAACATGTAAGTAGAACCTCATGGGAAAATAAGAGAGCTGGAGATAGATATGCTTTGGGGAGTAGTGGTCAGTGAAAAGGTTAGAGGCCAACCTATATTCCCTATTCCAAAGTATTTATTTACTATATATACTATATTTATACCTCACCCTTCTCATCTTGAAGGAGACTCAGAGCGGCTTACAAGTAGACAACAATTCAATGTCGAATGAACAGACATGCAAATAAAAACATATACATTAAAAATCAAAAGTTAAAAAACAACTAAACATTAAAACCAATAATTAAAGCCACACAATCCAAAATCAGAGTCCAGGAGCCATTCCAGATGTAATTGCATTTACTCCAAATCTACTTATTGCACTGATTTATTGTTCAAAGTCTTGGTCCCACAGCCACATGTTTAATTTCTTTCTAAAGGTCAGGAGGGAGGGAGCTGATCCAATTTCAGAGCACAGTCCAGAGTAACTCCAAGGTATTTCGGTGTGCTGCAATGCCAGTGGCATTGACATCTCTGGCCCATCCTCTATCAGCCAGCAAGCCAACACCTTGAATCAAGAAACAGCTTCCTAAGATTGACAGATATACTTACAGGAAAAGTTCAGTAAGCCAGGATCAAAAAGTAGCATGCTAAAACCCAGAACCTCAACCAGTGGCTGAGGCTGGATGAGAAACTCCCTCCTGGGTACCCAGAAGACTGAGTGACTTGAAAGGCGCTGAACAGACTGTGCTCTGGCATTACAAGATGCAGAGCTAAACATAAGAAATGTGGCTACAAAATGGAGTCCATGACATATAAGTGTGGAGGAGAGCAAACCACAGATCACCTACTACAATGCAGTCTGAGCCCTGTCACACGCACAATGGAGGACCTTCTCACAGTGACACCAGAGGCAGTCCTGGTGGCCAGGAAATTTAGCATAATGCCAAGTTTTTAACTTTGCATTGTAAATACATTTTAACTGTACCCTCAGTTTGCTTCTGAAACAATAAATAAATACAAAGTTTTTACAGTTTAATAAACCTTTTCTATGTTTTTATGATAGAACCAATTAAAAATGAAACATTCACACCTAGCTCCAACAGGTAAGAGTTCTTTCTTCCACCCTGGACTTTCCACAGATATATAAACCCAATTTTCCTAATTGCCAACAGACCTCACAGCCTCTGAGGATGCCTGCCATACATGCAGGTGAAACGTCAGGAGAGAATGCTTCTAGAACATGGCCATACAGCCCGAAAAACCTACAAGAACCCAATTAAGAAATTACGTTTACAACCCAGGAACAAAAACATCTGTTACATAGTGTAACAGTTATTTTTACTGTTCTTGATATATGCAATTGATCATATGTATGTATATGTATATCATTTCTGCTGCCAATACCATTACGCATGTTAATAAGATATATATATCTCACAAGAATTAAACTTTGATTGGTTGAGTTTTCCAGAAGTTGCGAGGAACAGCCTGCCTCTGCCCCACCCATCCTCCACCATCCCTTACTCTTCTTGACTGAAGAAAACTCAGAGGGCACTGGCTAAGCAAAGGGCATCCCAGCCTCACACATCCAGCGAAGGCTAGATAGCGTTCTTTCGTTGAAAGTGGATTTGATGAACAGTGCTTGTCTCCTGACACTTGAAAAGATCAGTGCTAAAAAGTAGCATGCCTGCAGGGACAAGTTGGAAAAACAGACCATGGAGAAAGGCTGAGAATGGAGGAGGGAAATCTCCAGAATGACTACTTTTCCAAAAAATAAAAATAAAAGTGATGAGGGCAGGGGTGAGAAAAGAGTGTGTGACACACTGTATGTGAAGGACAGGAGGGAAGAGAAAAGCAGAAAGATGGAAGATGAAAAGAAGTACAAGGTAGAAAGAAGCACAGAATAGAAAGTGCTCAGGCTCCTTACGAACACGCCGGAGCAACTCCAAGAAAGAAGAGATTCACGTGAGTAAAAATGCCATTTAGAAAATCATGAGCTATTTCCGATATCCATGTCTCTGGAATACAAATAACACTATGTTTTTGCAATGTCTGGGAATTAAAAAACCTTATCTCCTCTATGCAATTTTCAATCGCCCTTGTTCATTTAGGAATAATGATTACAAACAAAAAAGTAGAATGGGAAAGAGAGGCTGAAAGTATAATGACTAAAGATACAGAGGAAAACTTCTGGAGTTTAACAAAATAACTGGCGTGCTTTCATTTTACTTAAAGTAACATTAACAACTATCAACAATCTGGAGGAATAATCTGAGCTTCCCCTCAGCCAAATTTTCAATGTCTATCAAAAGCAGTGGAGCCAAAGATAGGAACTGTTTATAAAAGGAACCTTCCTTTCCGAAACAGAGAATGAATTTAAGGCAAAACTTGACATATACTGACCGACTTCAAAAAGTCAATTTTTCTTGCTCTTGAGTCCATTGTTATATACTTTGGAGGGTTATTCCTTGATAGATAATGCTTTTCAAATGCAAGAAAGGATTTCCTGCCCTTATCTTTATGCCATATCCATTTTTAAAAATCTCAATCAGTAATTCCCATTTTTGTATCTTTTGTTCTGCCTATTTTTTGTGTTGGTTACCTTTTTAAACAGAATTTTGATAACACATAACTGCACAAACAGATAGCCGCTGGAGATACTCTGCTGGTGGTTTTTAAACAATGTTTACTCAATGTATTGTAGAAAGGTTTTCATGGCCAGAATCCTGGGTTGTTGTTACTTTTCCAGGCTGTATGGTCATATTTCAAAAGCATTTTCTCCTGATGTTTTGCCTGCATCTATGGCAGGCATTCTGAGAGGTGGTGAGACCTCATAACCTCTGAGGATGCCTGCCATAGATGCAGGGGAAACGTCAGGAGAGAATGCTTCTGGAACATGGCCATACAGACCGGAAAACTCACAACAACCCAATGTTTACTCATTTGAGGAATTTTTTTCATGTCAGGAGTGACTTGAGAAATTGCAAGTCGCTTCTGGTGTGAGAGAGTTGGCCATCTGCAAGGATGTTGTCCAGGGGATGCCCAGAGGTTCTACCATCCTGTGGGAGGCTTCTCTCATATCCCCACATGAGAAGCGGGAGCTGACAGATGGGAGCTCACCCCACTGCCCGGATTCAAACTGTTGACCTTTCTGTCAGCAGTCCTGCTGGCACAAGGGTTTAACCTATTGCACTACCATGGGCACCATGAACACTTGTTTTTTCCGTCTTGCAAAAGGCTGACACTGTCAGTACTATCCTACAGATTTCTACTTGAGTAACTTAATTGAGTGTTATGGCACTTACACCAAGGTGAGTGGGTACAGGATTACCCACTTACACCAAGGTGAGTGGGTACAGGACTATCGCCTCTTTGCACTGCCAAGTAAAATGTATAGAATTGCATTGGTCATTATATGGATATACTACTGTGGCATGATCCCATCAAATAGCCTTCTCCTGAAGAGAATATTATGCTGTTGGTGGTGATGTTGAAGTTTGCATCCATACCCTTCTCAACTTAGAAAAAGCTGTTAACATTCTCTTAGAACTTGGAAGTCCGAACCAGAGTTGTATTTTGATCGCAAACTAAAGACTACTCCTAGTATCTAAGAATCCACAGTCCTGCTCAAGGGTTTATTTATATTAAAAAAATAGCCTTACTTTATTCAGTGCAACTTGAAAGAAAGTGTGCACAGAATTCAAACAAGAGTAGCTTTTATTGGAATCAAGTCACTGGTCTCGGTAAGATAAGGCATACCCTCCAACTGTCCTGATTTGGTGGAGACAGTCCTCATTAATCCTGTCATATCTTTTCAGTGTCTCCTCTGCTAGTGCCCCCCCCCCCCTCGGTTTCGGCTTATTTCAACTGCTGCAAATTTGCTTTAATGTGTAAAACTAGTTTGGACTCAGTTAATTGGTGAAAAGCCAGAATCCTGCCCTTCCCAGTAGATTCAGGGGAAAGTAAACTGCTGCTGCATCACCCAGTTTGTCTGTTTTTCCTCAGTGATCACTTCTGCTTCGTGACCATACTCTGATGTTGCTGAACTACACATATCTCAGTTTTCATCTGTCAAGTTTTAGAACATATGAAGGACTGTCAAGTGTTTTACAAGTGCTGATATTTGCTTAATCACAATTGGAAGTACAGTAGAGTCTCACTTATCCAACATAAACAGGCCAGCTTGGATAAGCAAAAATGCTGGATAATAAAGAGGGAATAAGGAAAAGCCTATTCGTCAAATTATGTTATGATTTTACAAATTAAGCACCAAAACATGTTTTACAACAAATCGACAGAAAAAGCAGTTCAATACATGGTGACATTATTTAGTAATTACTGGATTTATGAATTTAGCATCAAAACATCACAATGTATTGAAACAGTTGTGGATCCGGGTGGGAGGCAGAGTGCATTGGATAATACAGAACGTTGGATGAGCAAAGGTTGGATAAGTGAGAGACTATTATATTATTCAGTACCCATGAACTGCTGATAAATAGGGAGGTCAGGGAAGATAAATGCTGACATCATTAACACAGCTTTTGGACCAAGCTGAAAAGAAATCATTGTCAAAGCATAAAAATCAATTGCATGATTCTAGGCATTGTTTCTTTGGGCCTTAATACTCAAGAGAAGCTTAATACCTGAAGCTAATTTAAACAGTCCATTAAAATTGACCTGAAACATTAATTATAACCATGTTCCACACCCAGGAGGTCATGGTGGTATATTTAGTCTTTCAGGAACGTTTGTGTGAGTAGATTACACTAAGATATGGTCACCTCAAGGCAGAGCGAGAAACTGAACTCAGGTCTTTCTGGTTCTGTACCCATGACACCATCGCAAGCGTTGCACGAGATGAATCAGATCATCATTTGCTTAATGCACAAACATCTTGGATTGCATTGGAAGCTACACAATTGCTGCCTCTCCTCCATTTCTCCCTCAGAGATGTTAAATAACGGTCAGAAGTAAAGAAAAAGCTGTCAGCCAGGCTAGAGATGCATTTTAGCTGCACTTCATAGAAAGTCAATAGAAGCCAAAACTGAGCAATCTTACCTACCTTCACTTCTCTGGATTTTGCTAGGCTGGCAGAATTCCTAAGCATTTAGGAATTCAAAAATGGCAAAAGCCATGGTCACTGGGGAACTATGCAAAGTATTCTTACTGCAACAAGTATCACATTATTTTTACCACTTGTAGTTTATTATATCTTTGCGCATTGCCCTTGGGAATGTCAGTACTGTGTTCGAAGGAATTTGAAGCATACCAGAATACGCAGTTGTTTCTCCTCCAGTTCCTTTCTCTTTGGCCTGTAGGTACATTTAACACTCTTTCTCTCTCTCTCTCTCTCTTCGCTTTTCTTTTTTCCTTTGTCTTGTTATTGTCCTCAAGGGAGAATTGTGGCCTGCTTGGATGCCATAGGTAAAACAATGAGAGGAAAGATATTCCCAAGAAGGGTGAGAGAGCAAACTTTATAGAACCAGCAGGTACAAAAAAGAAAGAGGAAAACTTATGTAACTTTCCCTCACAAACCTGAATCTCCTTCATATGAAAAAAATATCTAAATTTGAAAGCCCACAATTGGATAAAAATTCCTTTGTTATTAATTGGTAGGGGACACCAGTACGCTAGAAAACATAGCCTTCTGCCGCCATTTAAAAAATCCTATATTTCTCTAGATGAATGCTGGATAAAGCTCATTGTCTAATAGACCAGAAGTGGGCCAGAGGTAAATCAATAATAACTACTTTGGTAGATCATTGGTTCCTTACCTTAGTGGTCTGCAATAATTTGTCAGTTTAAAAAGAAAAGTGGGGTATGAATCTGGGAGAAAAGAGAGATACAAGTCCAATAAATGAAAATAATGACTACATTATTTTGAAGAGGGGAGTAACCATGTTAGTCTACTGCAGCAAAAAGAGCAAAGTCTTTTGTTACCTTCAAGCAGTGGTTCTCAACCTTCCTAATGCTACGACCCTTTAATACAGTTCCTCATGTTGTGGTGACCCCCAACCATAATATTATTTTTGTTGCTACTTCATAACTGTAAGTTGGCTACTGTTATGAATTGTAATGTAAATATCTAATATGCAGGATGCATTTTCATTCACTGGACCAAATTTGGCATAAATACCTGATACACCCAAATTTGAATACTGGTGGGGTTGGGGGAGGTAGATTTTGTCATCTGGGATTTTAGTTGCTGAGATTTATAGCTCACCTACAATCAAAGAGCACCAAACTTGGCACACAGAATTCCTATCACCAATGGAAAATACTGGAAGTGTCTCGTGGGCATTGACTTCGAGTTTTGGAGTTGTAGTTCACCAACATCCACAGAGTACTGCAAACTCAAAAAATATGGATCTGGACCAAACTTGGCATGAATACTCAATATGCCCAAATGTGAACACTGGTGGAGTTTGGGAGAAATAGACCTTGACATTTGGGAGTTGTCGTTTCTGGGATTTATAGTTCACCTATTATCAAAGAGCATTCTGAACCCCACCAATGATAGAATTGGGCCAAACTTCCCACACAAAAACCCCAGGACAGGCAGAGAGATCTTACTTATTTATTTACCACATTTGTATACCGCCTTTCTCAGTCAGACGGCGACTCAAGGCAGTTCACAACAGGCAACAATTTGATGCCTTAACAGTTATAAAATACAATTAAAAACAATTATAAAAACAAAACATTTAGCATATGATATAAAAACCATACAACTTATAAAAACATAATCCTCGGTGTCTCCTTACTAAAATCATTATCCAATTGCATTGTCAGTCGTTACATAATTTCATATTTGCCTGATCAGTCTTCTCTGCCAAAGGGATTCCTAAGACCATCAGAAATATGTGCTTTCTGATGGTCTTTGGCAACCCCTCTGAAACTCCACTAGCAACCCCTCCAGGGGTCCTGTCCCCCAGGTTGAGAAACACTGCCTTAACGGTTAA